AAGACAAATGGTCTAGGTCCGCCCCCTGGAGCACAAGTCATGTCATTTGGAACAAACGATGAACCATATTGTAACAAACTGTTTTTCGTATTTACGCCATCGATCGTTCGACATATTTATGAATAGAAATGGTAAGAAAATTAGTAATTGTGTAAAGATTTTTAGGGTTACATCTTAAAAGGTCAACCTTGTTAAGATGAGTAACTCAATCTTTTATAAGTTGGTTCATATTTTCATCTTTATTTGATATTAGATTCTATCTCTTAACATGCCCTCTCAAAATGGTGGTTCGTTTGAGTAGACCAATCTTGAAATCTGTGTGCTCAAATTTTTTAAAATCCTAATCGAATCGAATTGTTCGTTGGAGTTTAATGGGTTCTGATACCATGTAAAGATTTAGGGTTCTATCTTAAAAGAAAATGTATTGATAATAAAGAGTAGTAGTTATAAATGTGTAGTTAAAATTAAAATTTGACTTTTCAAAATTCACAAACAATTGATAAATTGTTACCCACATGAAAGCTATAATATTGATCCCATGCATGACAGAAATCATTTTCCACGGAGTAATGTTATTCACTATCACCAATCAACGGTCGTGATAGATAAAATCATTCTTATCGATTAATTAATTCACATATTACTTTTAATACAAAGACAAAGCATGTGTTATTCCCATAAGTTGTGTGTGTGTATTAATTAGCATATTTAGCTGTCACCATATACCCTATTTCTGAATTTTAAACTCTTACGACTCAATGCATGTTTCGTAATAATGTGTTGTTATAATAATTTAGAAGTGAACAAAAATTTAGAATAAAACTAATGGACGGACGGCTAAGGTAATGACTTTAAAATATTGTTGCATTAATTTAGCACATGGGCACATTTGGAATGATGCATCAAAATAATTAAATAATATAATATACGAATAAAATAAGTCACTTATGCTTTGGAGACATCTTATCATCTTCGTCATTATTATTATTAAAAGGGGTATAATGAAGGGTTGAACGCGATTTGATTTGGACAGTTTTAAACACGACGATTGTGTTTTTGAGAGGTTTATTGGTTAAATCTTCATAACGACAATTTTAAGCAATCCACCAAATTATTCTAGCAATTAAAAGTAAAGTCTAGCAACTAAGTTAAAAATAAATAATAGACTGAGTAATGTGACTAGGAAATTGAGACGTAACTACTAAACATAAAAAATTGAGGGAGCCCGACACAATTCAGAATAAAATAATACAACTACCAATAAAATATAGCAAATAATTATAAAAAATAAGAAAATTGGATAAACTGACTTGAAAATTGAGCCGGAATTCGAGAAATTGTTAGTAAACTGTCTACTTAACCATGAAGAGTGACGATAAATATGGTTCGGCAGTATTGTCTGGCGTTTCAACCAATTTGAGGATTTTGCATTTACAATTGTGATAACATGGGTAATTGGGTATGATTTAATTAATTAATTGTGATGGATAATTGTCAAATTGGGTTGGGTCTAATATGGATGTATCTTTATAATTGTGAGATGTCTGGTTTTATTTGGGTTGGATAAATTTAAATTAATTTTTTTCTTAGATTTTTTTGATTCAATAGTTTGAAACAGTTTCAAAAACTATAACCTAAATCAAATCACTTTATTGATGTTTGGTTTGGTTTAAAATTAAAACGTTTCAATAAAGCAATTTCGATTTTATTTTACGATTTGACGTTGTTCAAACCAAATTACATCGTTATGGGATTTCCTTAAAATTTGATGCATGTGAAATGCGTGTAACAGGATTGTGCCAGACCCGTGTTGGGTATATTCCAAGTATTGAATTCAGAAAATAATTTTTGACATTATTTTGACAACATCTTTCCCATCACTTTGACTTCAAAGATAATCACGATGACACTGAGAAAGTTACTGGTAAGTCTAAACACCGTGAATCCTGGTTTGATTCAGCTATAAAAATAATTAAAATTTAAATTAAATTCAACATTTAATTTTAATTAAATATTTAATGAGATCGATAATTTTTTAACCACAAATTTTGTTATTATCAGAATACTTTTTACATAATAATGGAGAAGATGGATTATTATATTACATTTTTTGTATTAAATTGTGTTCCTTAGTTTATTTTAAAAATTAAGCATTCTTCCCAATATCCATTTAGTAACAATTTGAAATAGTTATAGGATTAGTCATTAGCATATTTTATATCCTTTGTTTGGGTTTTATTCTATTTTCCCTAAATTTATTTTACTTTTCAAAATTGAAAAAATATAAATTTTAACCATACATCATGTACCCACTGTTAAGTTTTGGGATTTTATCTTAAAATGTCAACTTTGTTAAAAGGAGCAATACAATCCTTTATAGTTAGTCTATATTTTCATCTTTATTCGATGTGGGATTCTATCCCTCAACATGCCCCTTCAAGATGGTGGCTCGTTTGAGCAGATCAATCTTGAAATCTGTGTACTCAATTTTTTTTGAGTCTTAATCGGATCGAATTGTTTATTAGAGTTTAACGGGCTCTGATGTCACATTAAGTTTTGGGGTTCCACCTTAAAATGCCAAACTTGTTAAGAGGAGTAATACAATCCTTTATAAGTTAGTTTATGTTTTCATCTTTATTCGATATGAAATTCTATCCCTTAACACTCACAAATACTATTCAATTATTTATCGCTCATTTCTTAAATAAAAAAAAAATTAATAAAAAGAGAGTAAAGCCCAAAATAAAGGCATAGATCGGCTCGATATCTAAATTATTCATTTTAACATCCATGTGATCTGTAGATCTTACAAAATTATTGGATATTGTGAATAAAAAAAACTAATTGCATCATGAACCACTACATTTGAAGTCAGACTAAGTCTGCCACGTGCTTGTTAGATAGAATATACCGATGGCTAAACCTCAATTATATTTTATTTCATTTTCAATTGTCCACTTGTTTGAAATTTCGTTGTACAACGTAAATCCCTTCAGATAAAGCATTTGTTTAGGCTTAATAATTTGTGATTGGCCAATACCGAACGCGGTAGGTGGCGACACGGATGTCTAAAAACAGCTGTTCATGTAATAATAATAATAATAATAATAATAATAATAAAACTTTCAACAACGATGGTCGAAGCATATTGAATCTACGAGTACGGAATTGTTTAAACATTTTTGCAGTTAATCAACTGAAGGTCATGTTTGGTTTGCAAAAATTGATTAAACCAAACTGAAGTGGTATACATATTATATTATATAAAAATGGTTAAAACACTTTTTCTTCAATTCAAATGGTAAGAAACTTTGTTATTATTTCAAATAAAATTCTGTATATTTCCTAAAAGATCGAACAAAAAATATTTAATTAGTTATAT